ATCGGCGGGGTCATTCAGTGACCGCCCCGCAAAAAAGACCTTCGACATATTCTTGGTATCGTCCATAGTAGTGGTGCTAAAGATTCGATCCGCACTGTGAGGTTCCGAGGCCCTCAAAACAACATCGCTCACCAGAACCAACTCATCGTGTCTGCATCGCCGAGACCAACTCATCGCGACTGCATCGCCGAGACCTACCAACTCATCGCGATTGCATCACCGGGGCGACCTCACAGAGATCAGATCGCGAAGCCGGGGCCGCCCGCAGAGTCTTACTCCAAAATGCCCGACTTATTCTTTCGTGGTCGACCGGACCGCGACACAACCATCGCAACATTGCAACAGCAAGACAAAATGGCTGCCGAAGCGATCAAAGCGGCGTTTGACGCCTTCTCCAAGTGTACGCCTCTTTCGGTCCCCTCCAGCCCGTTGCTTGATTCTAACCAAGCATGAATTTGACAAACCGCAGACGCTGCAGCAGCAGCCCCACCAGCTGAATCTTTTGACGAACCTTTCGACTTGGTTGTCACTTCGAGCTACATCAAGCTGAAAGCTGGAATGGGCACTGAGGTCCTCGCGGCCGCGGCGCAGCTGCACATTGCCATGAAGCAAGCTGACACCGCCATCAAGCAAGCTGACACCGCTGGTAAGCAAGCTGACACCGCCAACCAGCGGGTCAGAATGATGCGCGACGTGGTGTGGCTCCTCGCATTTGGTCTGGCCGTTTAGGTGACGGTGGGCCGAACTGTCGGCAGCAATTTGACAGTACGTATTGTCGCATCTCTCCAAGATATCCAGCGCTGACCGCGATGCCTCCAGTCATCTACGGCCTGATCGGCGCCACGAGCGCGTGCCCCAAGCAGCATTGCAATCTTCTCCGCGTCTGTCAAACATCGACAGCACTCGCCGTCTTGGAGCAAGCGCTACCGGCGACAATGCGACCGCGGTGGGCAAGAGCGCAAGCCTAGGGGCACAAACAGAGCAGGGGCATGACTTGGGCTGAGAAGGGAAGCGTTGGAAGCTTGATTCAGGGAGGGAGGAAACGGCTAGCGATCGATATCTTCACCTGCTCCCAATAAAACACAACTTTTCTTCTGCGACTGACGGACAGAACTCGCGGTTTTACCGATTAGTGATGGAAAGTGATGCTTGGAAGTTTAGGTACATACGGTACATACCTTCCTAATCACGGACGCGACAGCGATAAACGGCCTTCACGACAAGGGAGCGACATCGATGAAAGGATGATAAAATGGCGATAAAGACGAAAGATGCTGAACTGCGTTATGTGAGGACGTTCCATACTAAGGATCTATTCCAGAACCCTTAAGAACGGACAACGGCAAAAAGTGCAGGATGCTAATAGGTGAGAGACCCTTGCGTCCTTACACATTGTTGTTAGCCCGCGTAGCAATAATAAGACGCTGCAGCCCGCAGGTCGAGAAGCCGTCCGTATTGGCGGTATTATTAACGAGCTGAAAGAGGGGTCGACCTACCTCACAACAACTCTTTGACCCCTCGCGTCGCCCTGCTACCCCTCAGGAACGTTATCCCCAATCTCGTGCCGCTATATCAATGGCTCGTACCAAGCAATCCAAAAACCAACACCATTTTTATCACAGACGAACAAGCTGGACGCGATTCCACCTGCCGTGTACGCAGGATTGGCCATCTGCGTGGACGGGCCACTCGGATGTGCATTTCGGTCCGCTTGCAGGTGTGGCAGGCTGCCGAAAGGTCTGGCTGGGGAGGAAGGTCGAGGATCCTGAGCAGGCGGCCTTGATCGTTCGTGAGTCTTTCTGGGCCGGACCCTTCCCCCGGGCCTTGATACTTGTTCTTCTTTTTTGCTAACCCGCAGTACAATCAGTCTGGCACACGGCCGACGACCTGAAGAATTTCCAGCACTCTCCCGCCTGTGCCGAGTTTCTGCGGGGCCTGCCCGAGCACGACGTTCAAGCCTCTCTCTTGTCCGGTGCATTGCTACAGGGTCTGTCCCTAGGCGACGCCAAGGACGACGACGCTCCTTCGCCGTCATCGGCACCATCGCGATTCCACAGTCTCCAGTGGACCTCCCCCTACGGGTTCGAGGACGATCTGCAGGGCCGCGTCACGCTCACCGCCTTCGAGATAGCATACACGGGCGTCCCCAGCCCCGGGCCGTGGCGCAGCGTCCTGCAAAACACGTTCGGCCACTTTGTGCCCGGAGGCTGCGAGGACCTCCTCCAACGGTGGCCACCCACGCGGATGCAAAATTGGACGGCATGGGCCGCGATAGACACGGAAGACGCCCGGGTGGACAGCGATCACTCGCAGCTGGGACAGCAGGCGGCGACGGCCGGAAACGAGAGCGGTCGGGCGGTTTTATGCGAGTTCCGCCGATGGAATGGCTACACCGGCGCCACTCCGGAACGGGAGGAGGCCTCGGCCAAAAGCCCGCTGGCAAGGGAGTCGTGGGCTCAGGCAGTGGCCAAGTTGATGCCCCCGATCACGGCCTGGGAGCAGGAGCGTTGGGACATTCAGTTGGCACCGCGCGAGGTTGAGGAGGAAGAGGGCGAGGACGAGGAGCCAGAGTTTCAACGCGAGTTGGATGAATGGCGTAAAGAAAGAGCGCTATAACTGTTGGGCCTGGTCTTTGACCTTGTTCGGCAGCACATGAAGAACCCAACGGGGTGGTTTCGTGTCTTTACGATGCTAGTTGCGCGAGGCGTTCCGTTCCATAACCCAACACTGCCAGAACACGTGCCGCAGTCTTGTTCGAGGCTGGGATTGTTGTTGAGTTCCATGACAGGCCATGGGTGAACCGTGAACGCGGATCCTCGCCCATTCGGCGGTGAACTTTCCGAGTCTGGGAAGGCCGTGGTAGCCGGGAGACCGCCCAACCGTTATATCGCGAAGGCCGATGTCGGGACTCGACAGCTTCCTGTGATATATGGATCAAGGAGGACGTTGAACCTGTTTTGTCAGCGGTTTAACAGCTCGTCTCGCGGTTGTATTTCTATGTTTCCTCTTCTCGTTCCTCTCCCTCCTCCTCCTCTTCTTCCTCTTCTGGATGCTCGGATACGGAGGGTAGTAGGATCTCGGATTTAGATGCTTGTATCCCGGGGGAGGACAAAATCCCAAAGCCTCGCCTGGCCTTGATTTTAAGATGTCGGAAATCTAGCGTTTTTAGTCAACATAGTAGTACGGCTAATAAGTATTAGTTTGCTGCTAACTATAAGTAATAAAGAAGAACCTAAAAAATACAGTGAAGTTGAAGTTGCAAAGCAACTAATCTTGATGTAATAGCAAAGGTCTTACTGTAAGAGTCCCAAAATAGCATATTCTGTAAAAAGAAAGTAGTAACAGGGCCGAGCCAGGGTTCGAACCTGGGACCACTTGCAAGCTAAGTTTTCACCCAAAGCAAGTATGCTAACCTCTACACTACACGGCCTTATAATGAAAGGAAAGTGTGCAGCTGAGATCAATATGTAGCACAGCGCCACCACTCTTAGGTAACACTCGTTAAATAAATTGGCTTATGCCTTGGCAAACCCCCCGTTTCCTCAGCCTTCTAATCTGTACCTTGGCTCGTTAGGTGCAGCTCGCTCGCCTCGCCAGCGCACAACCTACCCGTGCACCCAGCCTTGAATCGGATTCCCGGCCCTGCCAATTACCAAGGGCCTGGTCCAAGGGGAAGATGGCGCGAGGGACAGAAGCAGCATGTACAGTGCACAGCGTCGCCCTTTCGGGTTGGATGCCTTGAAGAACAAAGCAGACGCCCATCTTGAGTCGCTCGTGCCTTCTGAGGAGAACCTCTGGCCCAATAATGGGGGGGAAAAGGTGAGTAATCCCGTGAGATACCGTCGTCTGCCCTCCTTCTGACCGTTGGCGAATTCGGCGGTTCTGTGCTCCTCTCGTGACGTTGCAGATGTCGACAACATGCATGTCCAACAAGGGTCAGCCAGCGCCCTCATAAGTTAACTCTGTTACCAATACCTCCCTAGAAACCTACCTGCAAAGGGCTGTCGTCGCTTCACCGATATACTACGCTACTGTGATACCTATTGGAGCCGTTAGACGACCCCTCGTCTCCTACTAAGTAACTTCACCGTTAATACAAAGATTACCCGTTTGTGTAGATAGCTATTGAAACCTACAGATACAAGGCACAATAATTAACCTTTAACACAGCAACCTTCAAGTTCTTACAAGTACACAGTAGTACCCAAAGCATAAGATGTCCCAGCTAGGCCCGAGGTCCTTGCCCATGGAAACCTCGGAAGCTGCGGCATTGTTGCTAATTTGGCCCTCTCGCCACCCCATCGAGGGAGCCACTTCTTCCCGGTTTCCCGGGAGGGGACCACTGTGGTCCGACGTGAGTGGAGTGACCAAGAAGGCAGGCAAGGACTAGAGAATCCTTCAACAATGCTAGCCACGAGCATTATTTTGCAAATCCCCAATCCCACTTGCTAGTGGGCCATAACAGGAGACACATGCAACGTCGTACAACAACAGGATGCGCGTCGGTGTTCACGGAGCTTGAGTCTAGACATCAAGGGTGATACTCTACAGATGGTTGCTCCAGGAGGCATCTACATACCCTCAAACTCTTCCACGTCTGCGAGCGCCCGCGAAACCACCCTAAGAATCTCCTCCGTATCCTCCACCCCAACACTCAACCGAAGAAGATGCTTCGCAATCCCAAGACTCTCCACCCAATCCAGCTCCCTGTAATGCGCAAGAATGACAAACGGAATACACAGCGTAAAGTTCGTCCCGAAGCTCGTCCCCTTGCACACGTCCAACCCATCGTAGAAGACCTCGGCGCTGCGGGGATTCCGAAAGACAATGCTCAGGAGGTGGCCGGATCCGCCGCGTGCGCGACGGTGACGGTTGTACAACGCGGCGGTTGGAACGACTGACGGGTGATTAACGCGTGCGACCGAGGGGTGGCGTGTGAGGAGGTCGACAACGGCCAGGGCGTTGTCGTTTGCGCGCTGAAATCGCGACAGGATATCCGTGCTGTTCTTCTGCAGCGTGATGGCGTCGAGTGGGAAGAGCGTGTCCTCGTAGATTGCGGCAAGACGCGACTTTATGCTGGTGTAGTGGTGTGATTGGGGGTTGAGGACGGCACTGTTAGCCCAATGTTGTTAGCAGGGAAGAGCATTAGTATCGACTTGTGGGGTAGGGTGGCTGTTTTATACCGTCCGGCGGTTACGTTGCCGCCCCCGCTGAACATCTTGGTCAGGCTGGTTACCACAATGTCGACGAACGGTAGGATGTCTGTGTTGACAGCCGTGGAAACGCTGTCGTCGCACACGACAATGAAGTTGTACTTTGTGGCAAGCGCGTGAATTCGGAGTAGATCTGGCGATGCGAGCAGGACGTTCCCTGGAAATTCGCAGAAGAGCGCTTGGATGTGCTGACCGGATGTTAACGCCGCATCTAAATCGTCCAGCTCCTCTGCGCTCCCTTTGTGGTAGAGGGCTATTCCGTCCCAGGCGCCGCGTTCTAGGGCGGTTCTTGTCTCGGTGTAGAGCCAACTATGGGATGTTAGTGTCGTGTCATTGGCCGAGAACACTTGAACTCACCCGTAGCCGATGACTTCATGTTGACCCGGTAGAGACACGAGGGCTCTGGAGACGGTATGGATGGCATTCATGCCGGTCGGGAAGAGGAACACATCCCCAAGACCCGGGGACACGGGGGAGGACCCATCATTATTGTTCTCGGACGTGGCAAGGTGTGCAATCAATCCCTTCAGAGCTTGTTTCTCTGCTTGGCCGGATGGGAGCCCGACCACCGATGGAGAATTCTCTCTTCCACGGGTGCAATAGCCATTATTCGCCGACTCGGACTTCAAATTGTCAAAGACTTCCAAACAGTACTCGGCCTGACGACTGGACATTCCGCAGCCGGCATCTCGCCAGTACCAGAGCACATGGTCCAGGCAGGTTCCGGGGAAAAGAAGGGTGTAGAAGGTCGTCCAATGGTCAGTTTCATCCCCGGCATCCGGCGTCGGCGGGCTGAACCGGACGATTTCCGGGCTTCCAAGGAATTTGATGTGTTTAACCCGTTCATGCTCCGACCGGCGCTGGTGGTGGTGGGAAAAGGAATGCAATGTACTTCATCTGCATTGAGACGGAGGCGGTCGATGACTCGTCGACTAAGAATTTGGACCGCTTCGTGGATGTCGAACCTGAATATGTATTAGGCCTCGATTCCCTTGCCCTGACATCTCCGGGTCTTACCGCGGGTAACCTGTGGTGACTTTCCGTGAGAGATTGCTGGGGCTATTGCATTCGGTATCCCGGCTGTATTTGACTACGGACTGCCACGTCGGCAGCGACACGCTCACGGCCTAGGAAGTAACTTGTAAGGTCTGCTGCAATAAAAATAAACAAAAGACGGCCACCTTACATGCTTCTCTCCCGGAGGGTGCCTTGTACCCAGGGGAAATGCCCGTGGTTTCCAGGGGTCCAAAATGGGATCCATGATGGAGACGACAGTGAGGGAGGAGTGCAGATGCAGAATGCAGTGTGGGTTGATAACACATTGCTAACATCGCCGGAGGGTGCCGTAGGTTCCGATTTCGCTGCTCGGCTCACATGCAATCAAAAGTAAGCGTGATCGCCGGGAATAGACCCAATGACTTCCTTCGAGACAGATGCGGCATTGTACCGAAGCGCCGGTGCTCCTGTACGAGGCTCGGTTTACCTGGCACCAATAGGACTCGGAACTTTGCAGCGGAAATGCAGCAAAAACAAGCCACAAGTCTTCTGAGTCTGCCATCGGAGGCCGCGGGTCTGAGACATCAACTCTAAACTAGACTATATCTGGCAGTTGCCGCTGAGTCCTTGTACTGTGTACATGTACATGTACATACTAGTACTCGTCTGCCGATCGCCCGATGGCGATGCGGGGTCTACACGTGTACTCGGTACGCAATGATTCATTACCAAGGACCAAAGGTACCACAGCATTCCATCTTCTTTCCATCTCAGCTGACCGGGGTCATTTAAAAGACTGCGTTCGGCCTTGTCTTCCAAAACACAGCCCAACTGCAATTCCCAAGCGCCTGCTCTGAAGTACATGCTGGTATTACACAATGTCTCCGCTTGTCACGGCCTTCATCTACGACAGCTTCGACAGCTACCGTTCCCAGGGCTTCAGCATCGAAGAATGCTTGGAATTCGATACAGACGATACCATCGCCGCCATGATCCGGTCGCTCGAAGCATGCGGCCACAAAGTCGTCCCTGTGGCAGGCATAAAGCAGCTCGTTGCTATGCTCGCCGCGGGGAAACACGAGTCGTGGGACCTGGCGTTTCCCACTGCTGAAGGCATGTATGGCGCCGGGCGGGAGGCGCAGGTCCCGGGGCTTCTGGAGGCGTATCAGATTCCGCATGTGTTTTCGGATGCGGCCACCCTTTCGCTTTCGCATGACAAGGGGCAGACGAAGGTAGCTTGTCTCCGGTCCGAATATCTCAAGTAAAGCACGGGCTAATTGTACATGCACAGATGGTCCTCGAGCATCTACCGTCTATGTAATAGAGCTCCTCAAGGCATCGAGATGAGACAATGCACTGTGTACTTTGTCGATCTCACCCCTCTATAGAATAATTCACACCCGGGGCTGAACAACGCCGCAGCAGGACAAATTTCTGACGGACCACGATGAAAGTGGCTGGCCGTTTATTGTAAGAAGCGGTCAAAAGCATCCCCCGGAGTCGGTCACGTTTAAACCTGCTGGCGCTCGAGGGCTGGCCACTTGCTCCCTGGTGAAACCGTTTATTCGTAACATTCGCCATGTCTTTCAGCCTCTGCTCTCGATCGGCACGCCCACAATGTCTTCCTCACCTCACACGAACCATCTCGCAGCGGAACATCACCAAGGCATCAACGCTAGCGGCCAAGCCTGTAGCCACGGAAAAGCAGGTCTTCACTCCGCCACCAGTCGCATATTATTCCGATCAAGGAGAAGAACACTACTGGAAGAAGATACCGAGGTGGCAAGATGCTGGGGTTGATCAATTTCTCAGTCACAAGTGGCAGGTAGGTCCCGCTCCAGAATTGCGGTCGGGAAGCATCTTAACGCTGAACGGAGCAGATGGGAAACACGGTGCAAGGGGCAGCTGCACTCGTCGATTTCCTCTCGTCAGTTCTGCCAGCTACGATCCCCCCGCAGAGAGACATGGAAAGCAGGCTTCGAATCACAGACATACACACACGCGAGGAGTTTATCGAACGGGTCAAAGCGGGAATCAAGAAAGCCCCCATGGCCATTCGTCTGTCGCCTCACATCCCTAGTGTGGTAGACTGGTCGGATCCGTTGAACGACCCGATCAGACGGCAGTTCATCCCGGTTTCTTCGCCGCTGAACATCGATCACCCGATGGCGGTCCTTGACCCGATGCACGAAGACAAGTACTCGCCTGTTGACGGGTTGAT